AGTGTTGTCCTTGCAAACTGTTCAACATCACAAAAGTTTCTGTGGCAGGAAACAAAATTTCAAGAGCCACACACTCTTACAATGGCCATCGCAAAAAAATGAGGTTCAAGCGAAACTACTTTTACAAAAAAAAGTCATCGTGACCAGAGAGAACCTTCCCAGAAAACACCACTGGGCACACTAACTCAGAGTGAGTTGCTGAATACTTGCCTACCAGGAAAAATGCATATTGCAAAAGCTCCAGCCAGCCAGTGGAGCTTTTCCCAATTTTTGTTTGTTTGTTTGTTTGTTTGGGGGTGTACCCCCTCGTATATCAAGATATATAACAATATATCTTAGTATATGAAATTATCATAATATATATAGTATATGAGGGTAGCACTTTGCAGGACTAGGCCACTGGGCCTGAGAGCCTAGAATCATAGTCTTTGGGGACATTAAGTTAATTGGTACAACATAGTCCATAAAGACATTCTCCATCCTACTAAGGTTGAGTTGTAACTGGGAATTTAAAAACTTGTGAGCAGCCATTGAAGATACTCTTCTAGCCCGGAGCAGAGATGAATAAATAGAAAGAGAGTTAAGGAAACAGTTATTCTAAAGGACTAATGGAACACATGAAAACAACCTCTATTAGCTTGAGATCAAAAGACCTAGATGCTACCCAGCTATCACTGCCAACTGATCAGGATCATACTGGGATGGAGTTGGATAAAAACGTAGACCAAAATTCAAAGTCATAGAGATCAGACATTTTTCTCAGAGAAAGTGGTAGAATTCACAGATTATGGCCCTTAGACACTCTTCAAACCTGGAATGGACCTCCCACTCCTGTAGATCATCTTACAGCCAAACTATAGACCCGCCACAAAGGGAATAATAGCACCGAAGAGGAGTATGCTTCTCAGAACAATCAGCCATTAAAGATCCAAAGGGCTGCATGTCCCCATAAATAAACTTCAGAAAGCAGGAAGGGGCAGAAAGAAAAAAAATGGGTGTATGGACACAAAGAATCCAGGGAGGAAGTGGGAAGAGTGCTGTTCATTGGAGAGTGCAACTAGAATCACAAAACACGGATATATTGTTGAATAGGAAACTAAGTGACTCTGTGAACTTTGGTTCAAACTACAATGAAATGTTAAAAAGAACGATACAGGCCTCTAACTTCCAGTTTCCTGGGTTAGCAGAACTCCTAGAACTGTCCTTCTTTTTGCTCGTGGCCACCACGTCCATGCTGACACATATGGCAGCCCCGTGTGTACAGTAGAGCGACTCCGAAGTGTTTTCCAGGCTGGGACCTTTCAACTGTAGCTCGCCAGGGCTGTCTTCCTAGATCCTTCTGAGTGGATCTGAACTGCCCACCTTCTGGCTGGTGTTAAGAGCTAAACAATGTTCACCACCCAAGGATGCCCAACTCCAGGGAGCTTCCATAAAACAAGACAAGAGAAAGCAGGCACGGCTGCCCTGGCGTCCGTCTAGGCTTGTGGAGACCGGTGTGCTGACCAGTAGAACTAATATAGGGCTTTCATGTATGGAAAATATGAATGTAATAGTTTGTATCTATAGAAGGGTCAGGTTCCTTTCTGTCTTTGTAGTCTCTTTAGTGGAATGCCCGTGAGGCATCACATTCTAGTTTAATGTTTACTCAATAATACAACTCTCTTTCTCTCCTGAAAAACAAAAGATTATATATAGCTAGCAACTGCCAGCCTCTTCATGGAGCTTCTGATTATTTAGAGACTTTCGGTGTGAAAGGCAATTATGGTGTGAGGCCCACCTAGTTGTGTGGAGAGAGAAAGGAAGTCTATTTTAATTCTCTCCCAGTTCATTCTCCAGCTGAAGACGACCCCTCTGGGTCCTCCTGGAACCAGAGCCAACAGAAATGGAATAGAGGCTGAGTGCCCATCGAATGTGCAAGAGTACATTTACTCAACCCGCTATAGGTTACAAACGCTGACTGGTAAGAACTAGTCAAGAGATACTATCTTGGTTTTGGCAGCAATGTCCTTGGCAGCGATACGAATAACTCTGAGAATCAAATGCTAATCTTTTTCCAATTCCAATTAGGTTACTAGCCTTGAGACATTCATATTACCTAATTATCTTTTTATTTTTCTCTGAAGAGATAGAGGCAATCCCTGGGTTATGACAAGCGTCAACCTACGGACAATGCCTATTTGTGCTTTAATGTTATGAAAATTTGCCTTCTCTGAAATGCTTCAGCCCGCCCCTACTCAGAGAAAAGTCATCCCAGTCACCTTCACTCGCTGCACATGCAACTTTTAAATCATGTGAAACGGCTCTGACCCTTTTCTCACACTAACCCACTGCCAGTTCAGTCAGTTCCAGCCTAGCAGCCCTGGAGGAAGTGGGATGGCTTCACAGGGTTTCCACTGTTCACAGAGTTTCTTTTCCAGAGTGGTTTGAACTGCCACCCTTCTGCTGAGTTCATCAACAACTAAGCCATTTGGGGTCCTTTCTTGCATGAAAGTAAAGCTAAGTAAGAACCACATGCAGATGCTCTAAATTACCTATAAATCAACTTTAAGGCACACCTAGGCATGTATCTTGTCCATAACCTGGAGACTGCCCGTATAAAGCCTTTGAAAGTGTTTCACCATGAAGACATATAAAGCGATCAGAACCCCAACATACCTTGATGTTCTGAGAGAATCAGAGTGTAGACCCCGAGCTAAACATATCCCTCGCATGCTAGCTTCAGTCATGCGAAGTACTTCCAGTTCCCCAGGTAGCTGGGTCACATCCTTTTGCTTGGAATTCCCTCTAAGCCCCTTTCCCCTTTTCTATACGAAGTCTGTGCCCTGGAAATGCTTCAGCTGTGCCAGATCACACTGGCTAATACTAGTGCACAGCGCTGTCTCACCTACTGGGTTGAGTATAATTTTTATTTAGTGGACATGCTAGCCTCTACTTATCTCATTGCTTGGTGAAACTAAGTACTCTAATAAATTATTGCTTAAGAGAAGTTGGTGTTCTTGTTCCCTACAAGAGTCTGAGTTCAGTTGATCTGCTGGATTTCCTCTTGGGTAAGTGGACCGAGTAACCTCTATTTCGTTTTTGCACATCAGAGGTGACCAAAACTACCTGTCCCACAGCACTTTCGGTGGCACAGTGGCTGGTGAAAGACAAGTGGCTTCTGAGACAGAGGCAAAGGCTCATGCAACATCCTACACACACGGGTGGCTCGAGAAGAGGTGGCATGACTCATTAAATGATTGCTGATAAACAATTTCAACAATGCCTTGGCCACTACAGAGATATTGATTTCGATGATGATGATTGAGAAAAAGGAGGTGGGCGGTGGAACTTGCACAGAAAGCAGTGAAGGGACTTGCCCGAAATCAATCAGGGAGGGGCACACATGTGAACACAGCCAGTGCTTTTGAGACACAAATCTGGCACTGTTAGGGATCACTCTCCACTGAAAGCTTCGTTCTTGAATTTTTAGAATTACTATAAACTTCATTGAATCCCATTCATCCTTCCATTTCAACTTCCCTTTGAAACCTTTCTCATTCTTTCTCCTCCAAACTCTTATGAGTCTACAATCCACAACCCCACACTTACTTATCATGAACTTCTTAGCTATATTGTGTGTCTCATTTCTCCTCTGATCATAAATTTCCTGAAGGTGGAGATGATGCTTAATGTCTTTATTCTTACAGTGCCTAGCACAGGGCTTGGTTCATAAGAGATCCTTAAGTATGTATGTGTTGATTCATGCAGTATATGATTGTACATGCCACTGGCATCTCTGCCTCACTCCCTGAGCACTTCATAAGCCAATTCTGCCTCCATTTGAAAACCTGAGCAGAGGAAATGAGATTTTCCCAGGACTTCTTTTCAGAATATATAATAAATGGTGCTTGTTGGCTTTTTTCCCCTCTAATATTCCCTACTAATATTCATTTAAATTTTGTTCTTCTGTTTTTCCTTATTATTAGCAGGCAATAGCAAATAATAGCAAAAACAAAAAGTTAGTTTTTTTCTTTTTTAATTATTGGACACAAACAGAAAATTGAGAAAATGTCTACCCTTTAGCTTTAACCCCTCCTCAAACCCGAGGCTAGGAGGGACTTTTGTTATTTATCTACGGTAAAAAGCATAACTCTAGGTTTGGAATGCTATGGCAGATGGTTTAGTAAATCAAAATGTTGTCCTGGAAAATACAGAATGCCTGGTCTCAATGTGAGAAAGAGGATCCGTACAAATTCAGTAATGTCTGAGGCACCCTATCTCTACAGGATAGTTTCTTGGTCCCACCCCCACCCCCACCCCTCAGCTCATCTCTAGGTGCTGACCCTGTCCTTTGTGGTTTGCAAAACTGATCAATGAAACACTCAACTACTGTGGAAAATTTGGATTTAAAAATGCTTTTAAAAAAAGCTTTTTTGAGGTTCTGAGTACCTAAAATGTGGAGGTGTTTATTCCAAGAAGTAGATTTTTAAATCAAAGATGGAAATATTCACTATCCATAGTCCAGGTACTTATTAGCAAGCATAATCCCATGTCTACCACATCCTCTGAAATTAGTATCCTGCGGTGAGACCTACAGTTTTGCATTTCATATTACTATTCATGTTAACTGTGATAGCTACTAAAGTTTAAGAATCCATCTGAGGACACAGAGCTAACTGCACAGATATGCCCTCTATGGCAGTACAGAACACTAAATTCTATTCTTAGCTATTGGTGGAGTAGAAGAACACTTTCTGGAAAGGTTTGCAGGTGGGGTTAAAAACTAGCAACTGAAAAGTGAATGGGATTTTAATTTTAAGAAATTGTGAAAAGCGTATCCTTCTAATTAGAAAATCCAGGTCAGGAGAAATGGCTAACTGAACAAGCTCATCGCTAGCCAGTATCTTAAAGGCCTTCAGCACTCTGGAGATCAAACGATCCAGTGGTTTCACCATCTTCCAGAACTAAGACTTCCCCTCATCATCCTGGGCAAGGTTGAGACCCACACTCTTCTTTCTTACCATTTTCTTCCATTTCATCCTACGATTCTGATACCACGTCTTCACCTGCAGTTGAGTGAGTCCAAGAGACTGAGCCAAGTCCAACCTGGAATGTGAGAGGAACAAAGGAAGGATGAGGAAGGCCGAGAAAGGCAGTTAGAATGTGGCCTAGTGACTAGCTTCACCTATGTGCCACCAGAGTGTAACCTCCTCTAAAAAGCCAACTCTTCCCCAAGAGGCCTTTGTTTTTTTCTCCAAGATCCTATGGGTCAAACCCTGGGATGGTAAGAAACAGATACATGCGATGATCCGGGACATCGGGGTGATCCTCATTCTGGAAACACTCATTACCCAAACTGACTCTGAAAGTACTTCTGCGTCTTCATTACACAGTGCTGTTCACTCTGACTTGGTACAAAATGAAGTCTCTAACGGAACTCTATGGTGGTATAGTGGTTATTCGCTGGGCTGCAATCCACATGGTCGGCAGTTTGAAACCACCAGCAGCTCTGAGGGACAAAGAGTGGGCTTTTTATTCCTGTAAGCAAACTGTTACAGTCTCAGAAATCCACAGGGGGATCGCTGAGTCAGCATTGGCTCAATGGCAGTGAGTTTGTTTTGTTGTTGTTGCTGTTTTTAATAGAGCTCTGGTATGCTGCTGGGTAATCCTTGTCCTGCTGCTGGGTAATCCTTGAACCACCAACTGGTGGTTCAAACCCACCAGTTGTTCCTTGGGAGAAAGATGAGGCAATCTGCTCTCATAATGAGTTCAAATTCAAAATCCAAACTCACCGCCATTCAGTCAATACTCACTCATAGCAACCATATATAACAGGGTGGAACTGCCTCTGTGGGTTTCATCTTTCTCAGATCAGAAACTCGGGTCAGAAAGAGTTACAGCCTCAGAAGCCATCGAGTGGCTAGAGTTGGCATTGACTCTATGGTAATGGGTGGGAAGCCCAAGGGCAGGCTGGAAATAAAAGGCAGGACTATGTTCATTATTGAAACCAACCAATCCCTTCAGGTCCAGTTCAAATTCTACCTTCCACAGGTGAGCCTACCAGACCCTTCTAGCTCATCCCCACCCTACATCTCTACATTCCACCCATGGGCCAGCTGCCACCGCAGATAAGCCCGAGTTCTAACTGTGCCCTAATCACAGCACTGAAGTGCTGCGTATGCCTTGACTTCCTTTACGTCCACTGAAGGAGCTATCATATTGTCAGGCCTCAGAAATATTCTGTGACTATGTCATCAATTCATAGTAGTTGCTCTAAATTGTTACAATTCCACATTCCTCAAGGAATCTGTCCACCTCCTGCTCTTCAGTCTACTGGTAATCATGGGTCTGCATTTCTCTACTGCTTTCTGAAAACTTCCGAAATGCAGCCCAGCATGTCCTGGAAAGTGTGCAATTGGAGCCACTGCCAAAGGTACAGACAGCATCCATTTCATGAGCATCATAAGCCACTGATAATGAGCCAGCTCCCTTTTTTCCCACAGCCCTGGTTAATGATTCCCATTTTACAGACAAGAAATCTCAGCAAACTAAGGGCCATGGGCTGCCCATTTCTAAAATAAAGTTTTACTGGGACACAGACACACCCACTTGTGACTATATTGTCTATGGCTGATTTGGCACTTCAAATGCAAACGGGTATGATGCAACAGAGATATACGGTCTATGGAACCTAAAATATTTGGGTGACAGAGTGACTGCTAACCAAAAGACAAGTGTTTGAATCCACGAGCTATTCCACGGAAGAAAGACGTGGCAGTCAGCTTCTGTAAAGGTGTACAGTCTTGGGAATTCTATGGGCTTTTCTTCTTCTCTGTCCTACAGTCGCCACAAGTTGGAATCAACTCAACAGCAGGCAGTCGGGTTGGGTTGGGTTTGGGTTTGGGGCGGATAAGCCCTTTACAGAGCCTACTGACTTCTGACTGACAAGCTAGAGTATGGGTGGGGCTGTGATTCAAATCCACTGTGTCTGATTCTTATACTGCTTACTGTACATGGGCAGCCCTACGAACACTTTGTACAAATTGGATTTTTCAAAGGAAAGGTCCTGCTCAGGCTGTGGTAGAAAGAAACGCCAGGAGGGGCTGCAGCAGGAGGAGAAGTGAACGCCTCTCACTTAGAGAGCCTGTGGGATGAGACCGGGAAATAGGACGCCAGGTTCCAACCTCAGTTCTGGAGACCACAGAACATTTTAGAGGCTGTACATTGTTGCCCTGTGTTACTACTTTAAACCCCAAGTCTGCCTCCGACTGGGTCGACCACCTCTGTAAGTGGCTCCACCCCTGTTTATTGAAGCACTGTGAACCTCTAGTGCAGAAATCTGGGGCAACCACCGTTGATAGAGCGTTGGCAGTGGTCGCCAAGGTTTGAAGGTTCCCACTTTTCGAAGGACTGGGATCTGTGGAGCTAAGTTCCATTAGATCACACAAGCCTGCGGTTCCAACGCGGAGTCCGGAGGAGCCTCAGCTGTGAGTCTGTCAACTGCAAGCGTCACGAGGAGCATCAACCATAAGAAAAACCAATGAGTCCAAGCCCTGAAGGCTCAGAGGCAAACTCGCTACCCAGTCACTCCCAGCCCCTATTCTCTGCTCTTTTGCTGGCCAAGGCACACAATGTAAATTCCCGATCATAAAAAGAGTCTCTCTTCAAGGATCGTTGAACCTGTCTTAAATCTACATTCACATGGAAGGGCTTCTACTACAAGATGCCAACTTAAGTGAAGGTCATTAACAGACTGAAGCTAGTCTGTTCCCAGAGCCAGGAATACTTCTACTAACTGCACTGCAATCACTCATTAAGGTTCACGAGCGCAAGAGGATGTCGCACAGGCTTCCAGTCTCTAGGTCTCCCTGGGGATATCCCCCTGCTAGCATTGTGCCTTCCTAGCTTGGGTCGCCTGAGGTCAGCAGGTGCACGAATCAATGGATGGTTCAGGGAGCACTTCTGCCACCGCCTTAGCAAATGGTGTGAGCTCACTTGGGAAAAATGCAATCTTGACTCACTCTGACTACAGAGAAACAAGCTTCACTGTCATCAGCTTTCTCTCATTACCTGCCGCCGTTACAAATGCGTACTTCCCTGCTTATTCGTTCAAATGGGGTCACCTAGGAAACCAGAGAAACAAACAATGAGGAGGAGGGAACTGGCTGGGGGAGGAGGGAATGCTCATGGCCCTGGTCACGTACAGAGGTGAGAAATATCTGAGAGGGTGGCTAAAGGCAACAGCGCCCATGCCAGACAGATGGTATCCTCCTCCCTAGGCAAGGGAATGTCACCTGAGCAATGACACCCGAGCGATGCCTGGGCAGGTACCAAGGAAGACCCAGGAAGTGTGCTGGAAACTAACATTTCTGTAACCAAAAAACCCCCTAACTTTTCAAATTAATCCTGGCATTTTATGCATGCATGTGGAAGCCCTTTGAACACAGCACCCCACAAGTCATAAATAATGATTTTCACACCACTTGCTATGCAAAAGGACATTACATTCTCAATTATATGCTGAGGACGTTAAAAATAGCTATACAAAACCTAGGGAATACCACCTATTTAATCCTCTGTTCACAGACCTGCCTCCTGTCTACCCAAGACATCTGAAATGCAGTTTCTCCAGAATAGAGCTCACTCTTCTTCCACCAGATCCACTCTGTCCCCTGCATTCGGCCTTCAGTGAATAGTAACATTATTTACTTGGTTTCCTGGTTCAGGGACCACACAACTACCAAGGCTCTTCTGCTCCCCTCGCCTCGATGTTCTGTTTAGTCCATCGTCAACCGTCAGCCCTTAGTGGCTGGTGACTGTCTAACTCACACTCCTTAGGCAGACATACAAGCTCTTTCACAAACCGGGCCCTGTCTATTGTTCAACCTTATCTCCCACAGCTTCCCATTCACATCTCAAGCTGGAGCCATCCTGACCACTTGCAGCTTCCTGGACATGCCTCTGTGCCTCTGCAGGGGGCTTCCCTTCTGTGTCGAGCGCTCTTTTCCTCTGTTCTGAAATGGCCCCTTCTCTGAGAAGTCTGCTCCAAGCATTTGATATGGTGTAAATTGAAGAACACAGAATTCTCCGGGTAAGGGTTAAAAACAAGGCCAAAAAATGTCACTCTCAATAAGTCAATTCTGAGTATCAGCAATCAATACTAGAGTTCAGAGTAGAACTATCCCTTTGGGTTTCTGAGACTATAAATGTTTATGGGAGCACACAGACTTGTCTTTCTCCAGTAGAGTGGGTTTGAACTGCTGACCGCGAGGTCAGCAGCCCTGTTGGGTGACCCATTAGAGCACCAGGGCTCCAGTGAAGGGTACAGCTATGGAAACACTGATTCCGTAGTTGTATAGACCTAGATGGAGGATATGTTGAGAAACAAGAACTTCACTTTAAATATTTTCGTTTAATCATGCTTGGTCAGGTAGAGGGTCAGCAACAAAGAAGACCCAGAATAAGATGGATTGACCCAATGATGGCCCCAGTGGACACACGCTGTTGTGAGGATGGCACGCACGGGACCAGGTGGTGTTTGCTTCTGTTGTGTACAGTGTTGCTGTAGGTGAAAGTTGACTTGGCCGCTCCTAACAACAACATGAGTCTGTAACAATGTGCTCTGACTTACCCTCCTACTTTTGAGTTAATTTCACGTTTGACTTACCCTCCTACTTTTGAGTTTAATTTCCTTACTTTTTTCACGCCTATTCTCTGAGAGGACTGGGGCAAGCCTGTTTTGGATAAGCAATGAATCAAAGAAAGAAGAACAAGGATTATAAAATTCCCTAAATTAAAAGGGCCACACATTTCCCGGGAGTGAATGTGAAGGGACTAGACACAACACACTTGTAAGTGTTTTGCAATTAAGATAGCAAATTAAAGGCGGTGTGTATTGAAGCCTTAGAGCACAGGTTCCCAAAGATATGGCCTATTGGCCTCTTTTCAGAAAAAAATTACTTAGCGCTCCCCTGGCAATTAAAAAATTTTGTACTACAGCCCAGAATAAAGTGGTATCTGGTTTTTTCCTGCCCCCCCCATACTTACAACACGACCAGGTGTAGTATCACCTACTTTAGGAAACACTTGCCTTAGAGAAAAAAATA